GATGTGAAAATGGCGAATAAGAAGAACTTGTTCAAGTGATTTGATGTGAGGTAGTGATACTGAGATAGGTGGGCCGGCATGTTCCGTCGTGGGAACTTTGATTATTTTTCACACATATACCCAGCATTTCTTATCGCCATACCTGCTACAAATGTCATCCCACGGGCCTAAAGTACATAAAGATTAACGTTACTGCGTAACTACGCGGACATAACAGCCATCTTACTTGAAACAACAGCTGTTGGACAATAGCAGATGGTGGCAACTGGTATACAAGACAAGCTACCATAACTTCCACAAAAGAGGTGTGGATGTCTTCTTTTATCAGAAAAATAAATCCTGTCATCTCGTATCGAAGTGTAGGCATAGTGAATGTTAGAAAGGACAGTTATGTAATGATCACGCTTTGGCCTTCAATGCGCAATACTCGACGAAACAAAGCAACGGAGATGCGACTTTGATTGAAGAATCAATGTCACTCGCTTGGATTCAACCGTTTATGCGATATCTAATAATGATTAACACGCAGATTTATTTTCTGTCTTGTTTAGAGGCGATACCAGTATTGTATTGAATACTGGCTGACGAAGAAAAGGAGAAAGATAAGGAGAAAGAGAAAGAGAAGGACAAGCAGAAGCAGAAGCAGAAGCAGAAGSAGAAGGAGAAGGAGAAGGAGAAGGAGAAGGAGAAGGAAGGGACGCAGATATAATAGAATTAGAACTGAGTCTAATTGAAGAAGTGAAAAAAAAAGGAGAAAGAAAAAGACAATTCAAGAAGATAGTAGATAGAAACAACACTTGTGTAGAAGCAATTATTTCATAGAATTACGAAAAAAAAAAAAAAATCCATCGATCATATTTATTTGTCGGTTTGCCGGTAAGCCTTTAATCTAGAGCGTAACGAAGATGATGATGACAAGACGATTTGTTTGATTTACCATGAACCATGGTTTCAGAATCGTACGATATCAATCTCCGCTGGGTATGAATGTCAAAAGGAAGACAAAAGTCCCAAATCATACTAGAGAACTTATTATCAGACCAAAAAAGGGGGTTTGGGAATCGAAGTTGTCATGTGATACGCCTGCAAGATTAAGTAGATTTGCACTAATTTTTCTGAAGACAACAAACATGGCGTAAAATTAATACATCGCCTCATAACCAACATATCCATTAAACAACAAAATAACAAGCCAACTCAATCTAAAAGCCGCGTGTGATTTTCTTATCAAAGGAAAAATGATACTATATTTTAGCCAACTCGATCACTTTTGACCGCGCGCTGATTGGGCGTCAATCATATTGGACAGTACAGTTTCAGATCATCTTTCTCTCTCTCCAAACTAACGAGATTAGATTAAAATGTCTTCCTTTCTAGAGATGGTACGACTATTTGAGTTCGTTACAATATGACTAGACAAGTAGTTCTAGCTTTGTGCTAGTACTTATATTGGGCAACTGTTCAGCATGGATGCTCCGTTTAAAACTAACGTTGTTAGGAGAAACCAAACTACTCTTTGCAAACCTGTCACTGTGCCAAAATTAAGCCATCTTGCAAAACTCTAGTTGGTTTAACATAATGTAAACGGTTTGTAATTCTAGAGTGACATTTCTTTTCCGCGGCGGCTTATAGTATCACATCTAGTTGCATGTTCTTGGTTGGTATATCAGTTTTAACGGGTTTGAAGCTGTATCATATCCAAAATCTGGCTTATAACTCACTTTGAATTTTCATTGAATAAATAGTTTCACTAGGTTTTGTTTTTGTTCATTTGAACTGAGTTCAATAGTTAACTTGATTCATTTTTCTTTTTATTGAGTGCATGGGAAAGAAAAATGCACTCATTCTTTGGTTTATGACAAATAAAATGCTTTCTTTTTTCACACACAAACGAGTTAATCAAGTGCCTTTTGCCAATATCCAGGAATTAAAGAAACTTCATTTGTTTTTCGATACCCAGAAACGACCTCTGGGCTAATCAAAGCCTCATGCTTACTCGCATATCGAATTGGAATTTAGCTTGTCAATTTTGGCGGTCAAGGGAATAAAGACTTTTTTCATTCTCATACTAACTGGTTTTCAACTATAGCAATCAAAATCGAACGAGTGACATCAGATGTAAATTATTTCCCCAACTTGTTTTGGTGGTTTTGTGACATGCCGTTGCCAATAGTGGACAATAGATTTTCAGTTAGCACTTTATAAAACCAAGCCGCTTCGCTTAGATGGTTATCTATTAGAAAAGACTTCTCAAGAAGTGTTTTAGACCACGAGCAATAAGATAAGTGTGTTTACAGCGAAGTTTCTTTAACCGTTGGCATTCATTAGTAAGAGTACAGTGTTACATCAAAGTATTAAAGAATAAAAGGGGAAAAAAACCAAGAGAAGACGAGAAAAAGAAAAAAAAAAAAAAAAAAAAGAAACGAAAGAAGGAAGAAGAAGTAGAAGAAGAAGGAGAAGAGAAGGCGGAGGACTGAAGAGGAGTGAAAAGAGGAAGAGGAAGAGTGAGAAGCCGAGGAAGAGGAAGAGGAGGAAGAAAAGAAAAATGCAGAAGTAAGACGCAAAAGTTCACCTTCTTTATTTAATATCATGTTTATTTTTGCAAGGGGCTTGTTTTGATGGTACATCAAGAGCTTGATTTTGCAGATATTTTACGGTTGCCCTATCAGTTGATCTACTTTTGTCTCATGTCGTTCATTATCGTTCAGTAATAGAGGTTAATTTGTGGGATGAACTTTCTATTTCTCACCATTGTTTCTTCAATCATGTCCTGCCTCATGTATATTATATTTTCTCATAATTTGCAACTATATTTTCATTCAGTCCCCAAACTTTATTCGGCTTTTGGTGCATCGACAATATCAGTATACATCCGTAAGTATCCATTTTTACAAGGTAACTTTGTTAAATTAGAGGTGTTATCATGTTGTTTCTTTTTTAAACTTGATTTTCCAGTTGTCAATCTACTTCATCTCTAGATAGATCAAAAAACATTTTTTTTTCCAAGACTTCAGATCGTAAGTAAAAAGTGTGGTGTAGATCAGTAAGGGTGTTTTGTGGCTGGCCACGCTAATTGGAAAGCATAAAACAGTCTACTATCAGTGAAGCAAATATTAGGGGGAAAAAGAGCGCCGATTATTTCTAGGTCTATTCAGTCGTGTTCAAAACAAAAATAACTTATTGGTGTTAGCTAGATGAAAGACGTACTGAAATCCTCTGAAGTAATTGTCGGAGACTGTTTTCATTCACCATAAAGTATGAAGTAATTTGAATTATAATTTAATTGAGCTCGACTCAAAAGGTGATAAAAAACTCATTTACAATCTAACGTTAGTTTATGAATAGGATGTTTGAATTCTCACAGTAAATCAACGAATACTGTCAAACCTTTCATACAACAAAGTTAAATAGGTTCTATTTAGCTGTCTTTTAGCCAGGTTGCTTCCACAGTTACATTGCTCTTTTTACTCATTATAGACATAGAAATGTATTATGATAAAAACTACGAACAGGTAGCTTGAAGCACAATACGCCTATCAAGACAGACGGCGTGTTTGTCCGCTATTCTGACGAGTTTTGTTGCCGTCACGAACTCGAGATTTTAATCCTCCAACTCTCCTCTAAAAAGAGGTTTAATCTCTCACAATACTTCGATATTTTTTATTTAGGACGTACAGTTAGAAGTTATTGGCTTTCTGTCTGATTTTCAAGAGGAATTATACGTTTTATATAAAATATGTAGCATATGAACAAATCCGTTACCCGTTACAGTGTTTCTTCAAAACACCTACAAATGTCTTTTCGAGTAAATATACTCCAAAACACAGATACCTTATTTATTACCAAGTGATAATAGCTTTAAAAAATTGCCCTTTTTAAAATCATCTTAAAAGTTTTATTCCCGAAAATAAAAAGAGATTTTGTACAAAGGTTGTTCATTTATCATAGAACAAAGTACAAAACCAAACAAAGACGACTAATAAGCAAATTAAACGAACTTCAAATAGCAACGGATTGTACAATGCTCAATATCCTAACCATGGGTTCATGAATTTTTTCCTTTTCTTTAATACATCCTTTTTTAGTCCTTAACATACAGGTGCTAATGATTGCCAAAACCGTTTAATTTTCAAGTGAATGAAGGAGGTTCTGCGCTGTCTGAATTGTTGGTTTGCTTCTTTGATGTCTGACTCACATTCGGCACGTTTATTATCAAATTATTATGACAACGCCCTGGAACAATTTAATTGCCTCTTTATCAGCACAGGTGAAAGACTTATTAAGATGTTTATAGGCCATAACCCGCTAAGTGACAACAGAAGGAAAAAATGGCGTAGAAATCAGAACTAAAGCCAGATTATATGACCGATTATCCCAGTGTATCAGTTGATGTGTTCTTGAAAGCAATCTTGAATTCTTTTGCAGGTTATTCATTGAATAGCACAGAGGAAAACTCATTTTCGCGTTTACAAACAAATGCAAATAATTCGGTTTGTTTAAAACTGAATGTTTGCTAAAGCGATTGCTGAAAAATCCTAATCACTTGGATCTTTCAAGGTCACAATCGCGTATCATTTAAGCATAGTTTTATGTGTTATATACATAGGTTACGATCTCTTCCTGCATTAGTTTGTTCATCGTGTAAAAGAGTAAAGGGCTGTTTCTTGACTTTCTTGTTATAATGGTGCTTGGGGCCTGAGATGAACGGTTCTTTCAAAACAGTGTCTGTTGACTTTCCCAGCAGATGTGCCAGGCCGACCCCAATTCAAACGGTCTATTGTTGCCCCTCATGGAGCTGTCATGCCCTTCGTCCAATTTCCAAGTACTAATTGGCCGATTTTCTTGTAAATACAGCTGCAACGTAAAATTAAAGAAGCAATTCGACGGTAAAAACAACAACGGGGCGTGTTTTGGATCGGCAACGGGCTACATTAACTAGACAGTTTGTGAGACTTGAGTTGAGATTTGTTTATTGAAAATAAAATAAAATGACTAGGTTTGAATCGCACACGTACATTAATGCGTGTCCATTGATGGCATTCAAGCTGCAATCTGCTATAAGCATTTTTGTAATGCTGTTCCTGAGATAGGGAACTTAAGTACACCGCTTCCAAATGCGTGGCAAATAGTAAATTCAAATATTTGAAAAAAATTGCGGTTAATCTAAGCTTAAAATTTGAAGTTGAAGGATGAGACGAAGACAAAACAGAAGCTTATAAAATACTGACAAGCGAACCAGCAGAAGTAAACCGAGCCAGACAAGCTGAAATGTAAAAACCACCCAGATAGTTTACTGGGCTTTCCTTATTACTTTAATCGGGCCTCGAGTCGATAGCTAGTTGCTAGGTAAAGTGACTGCCTCTAAACTTTGTTGATAAAGAATTCGATAATGAAGCCGTCAGTTTTGCAACATATTTTTCTCGTGTTAGCAGACACAGAATACGCACTTAACATTCTCTCTTGACACAGTAGCAGTCTATGGCTGACAGTGGGAGACGCATCCTTCTCCTGTAGTTTATTAACAATAGATTTGCAGTTAAACTTCAAGGATAATTTACTATGAATCTAGGGGACGTTTTCCATGCATTTGTGGATTAAAAAAGTATGTTCAAGTCTTACCAATCAGAACGAGGTTTCAATATCCTTACACAATCGAGCGCCTTAAGAAGTATTTGTTCAGGCCACAGACACCGTATTTAGCCTCCCAAATCCAATGGCCAATTGTAGATTCTAAAACAAACATGTTAGCCCGCTTCAGTTTCATGCTAATGACCGACTAATTGAACCAGTACCTTGTAGTAATGTGTTTTTGACAAGTACACTAAAAGCTGTTTTGTTCTGTTCATGACTTGGGCAGCATCATTGCAAAGGTGGCAAATGTTTAGACAAGAAATATTGCCTGGTCAGCGGTGGGACGGTGCTGAATTCACAAGCCACACAAAGAGGACGGACAGCCTACCGGTAACCTATTAAAGTGTAGCAAAAAAAGCGACGTTATCACTTGGGTCTGACCAGCAGGCGCTGAACAACGGTATCTGTGACAATCACCCATTTGGACTAATTGCGTTTAGTCAGACGAGTTTATCAAGTACTTAAGACGACTGCCATTATGCTTCCGTGCCCCTTTTCGATGGAACAAGTTATTTCAGTCTGTGAATTCCTTCAGAACAGCGGAGAGAATGACAGGTTGGCAAGGTTTCTTTGGTCATTGCCAAAAGACTCTGAAGAAATCCAACAGTGCGAGACCATCCAAGTTGCCAAGGCCGTAGTCGCTTTCCACCAAAGCAACTTCAAAGAGCTCTACTCGATTTTGGAGAGCCATAGGTTTTCCAAATCGACGCACGAGAAGCTGCAGTGTTTGTGGAGAACAGCGCACTATATTGAAGCTGAGAGGCAGCGTGGACGCCCCCTGGGAGCTGTTGGCAAGTACCGTGTACGAAGAAAGCATCCACTCCCGAGAACGATCTGGGATGGAGAAGAGACCACTTATTGCTTCAAGGAAAAATCCCGCAGTATTCTTAACAAAGCCTACACCGAGAATCCCTACCCCACCCCCAGAGAAAAGTACGAACTGGCAAAAATGACCGACTTGACTGTGACTCAAGTCAGCAACTGGTTTAAAAACAAGAGACAAAGAGTACGTGCTGCAGAAATGAGAAAAAGGTATGTAAATCCAAAACCGCTAGTGTATCGTTTATAAGTTGTTGTTTGCACACTTGCGCCCGCTTTCCCGGCGCTAAGAGATAATCGCGAACAAGTGCAATAAATATCGTTAAAACACCAGCAAACCCTAAACTAGATCTTACATAAATATATTCAGTACAAATCTAAGTACAGTTGCGGAGCGGATTTTTTTACTAAATGGACTAATGTTTTCTTGGGGTTGTTTTCTTTTTTCTTGAATATAAATTCTGTGTTTTTTGTGTTTTCAAGTGATACTTCAAAGGTTAAACATGTCTTGATTAAATACATAACAGTGACGTTTCAAAAATTTCAACGTAGTGAAAGGAAACTTTTTACCAATGTTTTCTTAGCCTACTCATCGATAAATAACTCTTTCGAGGAAGGATTTTGAGCGATCTCTGCCGTCTTATATATTGAGTCTACTCGCCTCATCCGTAAAACTATACCTCACATCATTCAAACACTCGGTTAGGTTTATTGCGTGTCGGATCATTAAAGGATCATTAAATGATTCAAACCAAAGCTTATTCAAATGACACAAGCCAATCAAAGTGAAATTAAATCTTAACGTTTAAGGTTTTGTTTAAATTAGCCCTAACGAATTTTGATTTTTTTTTTGCCCTTAAAGTCGCACTGAACGAGCACTGTAGAATGCGATTAGAGAACGATACTATAATCGTTCTTGCGGATTTGCATTTGCTAGCAAAGATAAACCATTTTTTAAGAAAGAAAAAACAGTAAGAAAGACTCGTTGCTTGGTAACCTTAGTAAGGACTAAAACATTTTTAGCCCGTGTTTCTAGCCATTTAGCATCTTTAATAGTGGATGACCAACCACTTGAACACTTCAATCGATTCTTGTGCAGCTGCGAAAACGATGGCGGTAACCTAAAACCAGCCCGTGTCCTTTCATAATGAGAAATTAATTGGGCAGGCTGATTTGGGAATGGATTACCCCAAGCTTCGCCGCCAATGAACGACCTCTTTATTGCTAGACAAATTCACTTGCTCAGCTGAGAATTGTAGACGAAAAATTAAGATTTTATTTTTCCACAAAAATCAAAGAAGACTCATATTTTCCCTCGGAAATAATTCACTGAGAGTAAATAAATGAATTATAAATATATATATTTAAAAAAATAAAATAAAATAAAAAATAAAAAAAACCACACACAAAAGGAAAGTTGAAGACATGGGAAGAAACATTTTCGAAGCTTTTAAGAAGATACATTTTATTATTTGTTTATCCCTAACAGTTTGGTCTGCTGTCGTTTTTAAATTTTTATTAATATCCACGATTTGAATTTTTCAAGGAAATCTAGTTTTATTGCTACACTGTTGTCGACGGATCTCGTAAATTGTTTATCTCAGTAAATCGAAGAGTAAAAAAGAGGTTTCATAAGTAACTGTTGAGACGACACTCTTATCTCTATGATTGTTTTGCTTTTCGTACCCACCACGTTTAGTTTCTAGAGGAACTGACCAGTGGCGACAATCATCCAGTGAAAAAAACACTTTGTACACAATACTCAACTCGTGTATTGATTTTCATAAGGGAGAAAAAAGAAAAGAAAAGAAAAAATCCCTCAATTCAAATTTACATTACTATCTGATTTAATTGATAGTTAATATTGTAATTATTTCCTTTATCTCTTTTGCAATTTTTCAGATTTAGTTTGAATAGATTTTTTCGTTTAAAAAAGAGGTTTGAAGTTACCATTTTTTTGCCCGACCCGTGCGCGCGCGTTCGAGTCCCAAGCCAACCGACCCGATGCACGATATCCATCTAATACACTCAAACTGATAGGAATCTTCAGTATTTGAGTTCAATTGCTATTCAATCTAATGCCTATTGACTTATCACTAAAGTGTTTTAAAGATTTAAGTGCAAAGGTCTTAAGTTGAAATCTTATTCCGATCCTGGAATTGAGATATTAGTTTTTAAATAGAAACTAAGTTTTCTCTTCTGTAAACTAAACTATTATTTTCAGAAGCAAAATATAATATGATCAACATGAAGTGAGAGTGAGAGATGTGAAAGTCTATTATTTTCAGAAGCAAAATATAATATGATCAACATGAAGTGAGAGTGAGAGATGTGAAAGTCGTTTGAATTTGTTCAACATGTTAAACAAAAATTATTCATTGCGCATTTTTTGCTAATTCACTACATTTAGTCATTCATTAATTGTCAACCTGCATTTATCACAGGCTAAAGCTGGTTTTCTTTTTGATCAAAGAGGGCAGAAAAAAAACCTTAAATTTCATCAGTCCCTTGAAAGAACCTCTGGGCTGATCAACGTCAGGGCACGGCTAATTCACAGATCTTAAAGATTAAGCATCGAATACTTGTTATCATTAGAAGTATCGAAAAATGTACGGATTTCCAGCAATTTCTAATGCAAAAACAAATTAATCGTCGAAATCAAAAATGTTTACAGCATTTGTATCGGCAAGAATTTGTCATCGAGTTTTCGTTTAGACCTAACATACATAGTCTCTAGTAACAGACACACCGATTGAAGCCATACATATGCAATAATGGATATTAATTGAACCTTTTAATTGCTATTTTTGCCAAGCCAGAAGTTCCAAAATAATATCTTAAATTTATTCTCCATATTAAAAAAAAAAAAAATTAAATCATTAATTTCTACTAGTTTTCATATTCTCTAGTTGTTTATTTATTCAACAAATTGCAGTCTCAAATCTCTTTAATACAAACTGCTATTGTTAAGAAAGTGATTGAATCAGTGTGCTGTTTTCTAATGGTGAATTATGTGAAAGTTGGGTTTCTATAGTGATTACAGTAGTGACCATGAATGTCCTCAACTACCAGTGTCATTGAAGGTCGCGAATAATAGCTTTCTTGGGGATGATTATGATGGATTTTCAGGATAATTTCTTTGGAAAACCTCGAGATTGGGTCATATTCTAAACATACTCAGTACCAGTTATATATCATTAAAAGTATCATTAGTAAATCTTTGGAGTTTCAAGCCCACACATCGATTGCTTTAAAATGCATAGCAGTAATTTAGCCTTTTATGATTGAGAATAAGATCAAATTTCATATCGACCATCTAGGCTGGGTAAACGCCACTGAAACCAAGATAGCCAGCTATTTGACAACAAGTCAATAGATTTGGCTCAATCGTTGTGGTGTTCATTTGCTGAAGCACATGGAAAAACCTCTGATGTTTGCATTGTGTTCAAACTTTGATTTCTGTTGACACACCTGCAATGACGAGAGCTCACCTAACAGAGGTGCTTGCCTAAGGATCTAGGCTACTAAAAGACAATAATACACTACGGAGTTGCTTGTTTTCAAGGAAGTATAACTGTAGTTTAGTGTTGCAAATGCAACGTGAGTTTTCGTGAAGTGAGTGAGAAGTTTAAGAGAACAAATATAAAGCAAGACTAAGGAGTGTTGGATATTCTATAAAGTGCAAATAATCAATTCCTTTGTGATAAGACCCACACAAATACAAATATGCCGCACTAAAAACCACATTTAAATTTAAATCATTTAACCAATTTAACCATAACAAACTTCTCTCTATATATACGTTTTTTTCTCTTAATATTTAATTTATTGATGCTAAAATCATGCAACGTAAACATAAAATTTGTGAGTAAGGTTTGTAAAAAAAAAAAAAAAAAAAAAAAAAAAAAAAAAAAAAANGCAAGAAGGCAACCAATTACTCACATTGCACAGTAACTTGTATACTGGCCATTGCTTCTCTTCCTATGCCGTTACTAGCTGTACACGTGTATGTCCCTGTATCTGATCTCTTTGCTGACTGAATATGGTACTCGTTGCCTATAAGACTGACGGAAGATGTAATAGATCCTGAGGACTTGGTCCACGTGATGTTTGGTGCTGGGTATCCATCTGCTTTACATGTCAGACGAAGAAGGTCTGTCTCGTTGATGATCTGGTTTTGGGACTTTGACAAAATTGTTGGTTGATCTAGTTTTGCAATGTAAAAATATAAAAAATGTACTCAATCTTACTCTTTAAATAATGTCAAAAAAAAAAAAAAAAAAAAAAAAAAGAAAAAAAATTGCAAACATGAATCATTTAATTTGAAGCCAAAAAATACTCATTCCTGTATTTGAGTGGGTTGTTGTTTCCTATGGTTCTTCCATTCCAGATTCAATCAATAAACCATCAATCCTGAAAATTTTGATATTTTTTTAGTTGCCCGCGAGAAAACGAATTAACAAACAGTAAGCGAAACAAAGGAATATATGCGAGAACCGATTCGATGGTACGTGGCAGGCATAATATACAAAAGCTTGCATGGATTGTTAATTATAGTTATTATTATCACTTGATCAGAACACTCGCTTTTAGTTGATTTTTTCCTTTGACAACATGATATATTTTATGTCATGTCATGGGGCTTTTTGTTGCTTGCAAGTGTGAAAGAAAACTTGCTTTATAGTTTTGGACATGCATGTTGGGAACTCAGACCCGCATTCGGAGCGCACCGCCCACGATCAATATTTTCACTCTGATCAAAATYAGCAGTATGACATAATGAAGCTTGTTTCTATTTTTCAAAATTATTTGTGCCAAATTTAGCTCTAGAATTTGATGGAATTTAAAACAACTGAACTGTTTGAACTTGGTAACGTTAAACTAGAATAGATTAGTGTGAAAAATGGGCGAAATTTGAATCAAAAAAGTAATTAGGGAATTATCTCGCAATGACTGACTTATCCTGGGTGTCGTAATGTGCACATTTATCTACCTCCATACAATCATAAATGCAAGCAAGAGAATTATGAAGCAACGTTTTTTTTCTTATAAGTCTCTTTCTTTTTCATTTTCCAGAGGATTAGATCAAGACTTTAACATGATGAAGATCAAAGACAGCAGCAGATCAATGATGCATAGCTATGATGAACTACGAAACCACTTCCCTTTTCTAATTCCACAGCAAGCATCTATTCCTTCTCAATCACCAACCATGTCAGCAGCGTGTCTTCCGGAGTACAGCGCACTGGCACATGGTTATACTCAGTGCCAGGCGGTGGCTTATCCCACATACCCAGGATATGTCCCTGCTGTTGTCACGGCGCACCATCCGTATAACGTCCCACATCGTTCCTACTTGGTCACCTCGCCTACTATCAATAGCCTATCGTACTCTAGACAGTCTGCAAACGCCTCCCCGCACACGTCTGTTGTTAAGATGAGCTCCGAAACAAGTGCTTTTGAACCGATCTCACATTCTGCGTCAATAGGGAGGTGTGGTCTTCTTGGAGAACAAACATTACAAAAATACTACCAGTAACCATGGAAACACGGTTATCAAACTCTACTGAATCATAATGCTATGGTAACTTGTCAGGTTTTTCATCTGTTTTTTGCAAAGAATTTCAAAAATCGAAGAGGAAATGATAAACTAAAAATAACATATTTGTAATGAACAATTTCTTTGTTTTTGACGTAAAATGAGTTTAAAACTCCTGCAGAAATGATTACGTAACCAAATGAATTGTATCATCAGTTTTGATATCATACTAGCTAAGTGCATCGATCTTCATCATATATATATATACATATATGTAACTATAACTCATATTTTTATATACCAATGTTGAAATGATCGGTAAGAAAAGGCTAGCTGGTAAGTATATGTTATGATAAAAGGGTAAATTTTACCACGTGAAAAGATGAAAAAACTTACTGACGTTTCGGACCTTAGCCCTTCGTCGGAGTAAAAGAGGAAGGACTAGCGTCCGAAACGTCAGTAAGTTTTTTCATCTTTTCACGGTGTAACATTTACCCTTTTATCATTACTGTTTCATTAGAAATACCAACGCAGCACACACTAGTTTTTAGCTAGTTATCTCTTCTGGTCAGTATATGATTGACTTCAGATAAGAAAACGATTCAACATGCAGTGTTTAATTAGTTGGGAAAAAGTAGGAATTAGATATCTTTAACTTGGAGTAATGTTTTCCCATTTCAGACCACTTGCATAATTGCATTCCCTAGACAAAAAGATTCTTTGAGTCGTATGATCCTTATACAAGTGTCTTCTCATGCGCAACCGTTAAACAAAGTAATGATACTCTAGGGAATGACACCCATGGTCGGAGATAGGTAACAAATATACGCCTAAGCTAAGAGAGTTATATTAATAATAATTTAATATAGTTAAATATAAAATGATTGGCTTTTATTTTGAATAATATACTTTAATTATTGTAAAACGTGAGTTTAAAATTGATTTGTTTCATTAGAGGAGAAAATATTTAAAAGTATTTTTAAGGTTGTTTAAAACAATAAAAGAATGTTTGGACTAAGTTTGTGCTCAACTTTAGAACATACACTAAAAATAAATAATAAAATAATAATAATAATAATAATAATATGACAACGACGGCTCTAAGACATTTATTTAAGAGGAAAACGTGTCAGACATATAAAATGGATACTCAATATTAAATGGAGCCTCCTTAAAAATACCTTGAATGTGAGGCTAACATTGAAATACAAAGGAAATGCCACAAATTCCATCGTGAAAAAGTTGATTGATTTCTTTCGTTTATATTTTTATGTTAGCTTTGCATCCACGATACTTTTAAGAAGGGTTTGACTTTATTGTTACTAGAATTTTGTTTTTTGTTTTTTGTATTCTTGGGGAAATAAAACAAGACTTTTCCAATGTCCTAGGTTACCTTACGCCCCGACGGGTTTAATGATACAAGAGTGTTCATTAGAGATTGTTGACGTGTCGTATGGACGGCTGTGCTAGAAATTACAGCCTTGAGAAATTAGCCGGTTCGTCAAAGTAGCCAAACATTAATTGGTCCTTGGATTTCTGGGATTGTTAGTGTACTTATTCGCTAAAGCTTAATAGCAGGATGGCAAGCATGTTTTAACTAAAAAATAAAATTTCTTCACTGAATGAAGAGGATATTCCAGGAGTAAAGCTACTAAAACCTATTGAGGAATGTATTTGTCCTGTCTTATGTCACACATATACACACACGTTTCCAGTAACAATCCCATCAGCCCTTGCGAGGCGATACTCGACTCATTCCCCCACTCATTTTTGAAAAGGCCAACACAGAGTTAAATCATATGCAGGAATTAAACATTTGCTATTTTGATTGATTATATATTATCCTGATTTCCAATATTTAACATACCCAATGAACATGAATGATAGATGTTTTCTTTGATAACGACCCTAAAAAGAGCAGAATATACACTGTTTAGTCTACTCATCCGGAGAAAGGCCTATCGTCATTTACAAGGGTTAAAAACCTGGTAAAGTTTTTTTCTCTCCTCCTATACAAATAAGGGATGTGGAATCGTGTAGAGCAGACTCCGAAAAAAATATAATTTCATCAAATTCGAAGGTGAAAATCTGGTGTGTGCGTACGTGCGTCATGCAGAGGTAAGCAAGGGCGGGGGGTACTGCTATTTTGAAACATATCATACAAGATACTTACTGATTATTCTTGAATGACGATAGCGAAAAGCCAAGTTTCAGCCGGCGTGCAACTATCGAGTTCGCATAACCTATTGAAATCTGTAGTATATACTTATTTCAATAAAGTAATTCACCTCGAAAGCTATAATGCTGAGACCGGCAAGGACTATATGTAGATACATTTACACATATTTCAACTGCTTGATAACTGTTGATGGACTTGCACTGATCTTTTACCAGTTAGTCTTACCCCTTCTGAGCAAGTAGTATAGGGAATGGGGGTTCCAGCGCAATCTCAACACGGGGCAAGACCCGTGTCAAAAATCCACCTACGGACGACCCCCACTCCAAGTGTGGTTGAGGGCAACGGCGCACTTAAATATGTTAGTCTATATATGGAGTGCGAAG